CTTTCTTTAGCAATAACACAGACCCAGGTGTTTTGTTTTAACAAGAGATAACTAAGCTCCCCAGACTCAAATATACTAGTTTCAATTTTGTTGCATACTCACTTAAAAATATTTTGGGGTGAGTTATCAAAATGTGAAAATTATCTAAGGTAAAAAGCCCACTGGCACATAATAATCTATCAGGACATGTAACTGATCAGAGCATTGTGTAAAGCTGCTACCTTGTCCTGCATCCTAGGAAAGGTGTAAGAGAGTACTTTTTACCTTGTTGAAGGCTGCTGTGGAGACAGTTGACAAAGGTTGCTAATATGGTCGCTACATTCATCACTTGCCAGCACTGGGCCAGACCAAGAGTAAAGAGTTCATTCCAGTAAGCTTTCACCAGTAATATGCTGTTTTCTTGCCTATTAAAAGCAAACACAAAGCATAAATGAGTAGCTACTGAAGCAAAATTTATAAATCTCATCTACGCACTTAAGACCAGATTGGCATGGTTTCAGTAATTCCATTCGGTAGAGCTGCCAGCAACTGAGGATGTGCGCTCAGGAAGTTAATACTATCAAATTCATTATTAACCAGCTGGCTTCTAAGAAGAACTCCAAGTAACATTTAAAACAACAAAGGTTGAGGCTTTGCATTCTCATTTCATGGTAACAGTTCAAATAAAGACTTTTAAGAAATAAAAGCATGCACTAAAAATTCTTTTGCTTTGAAGTATTTTTTAAAAAAGGAACTGTTAGGATTATTTGGCAGTAGGAATTTTTTTTGGGGGGGGTGCTGGCTCAGGATGCCTTCAGGGCAGGTCTGGTATGGCTTGAGCATCTGGGGATCGAACCACAGCAACCTGAGACTGACTGCTCTGTTTAAATAGTCACTTAAACAACTGAGCTAATGGGCAGGCCCCCATATTTGGCAGTAGGTAAGCAATCAATATAATGAGAAAACTGGTTCATGCTACATTTCAGGCAATTTTTTTTTTTTTTTACTGTAATTAACAAGAGATAAAAAAAAGTCCGAAAACCCTTTGTTGCATTTCTGAATAATAAATATTCAGCAGCATAACAGAACAGAAAAATAAGCTTTCCGACTCTCAGGCTGATAACTACATAAAACACAAGAAACTAAATAACCTCTATCTTGCTTAACATTACTGAGAGTGGAACCTTTCCATTTGTTTGCTTTTTTCTTGAGACAGGGCATCATTATGTAGCCCAGGCTGGCGTTGAACTCACAGTGATCTTGGTGCCTCAGCTTCGAGGGTTGAGATTACAGGCATGTGCCCCTATGTGTGGCTGCAACAAGAGGACTCAAAGGAGTACAGAGCAGAAGCAGTTCCCAGAACGTCAAAGGGTGTGGGTGGTGGAGGACGAAGAGAGGGTGTTTCACGGGTGTCAGGGTACAGCTGGAGAGAAGTAACTTCTCCTGTTTTCCAGCAACATAGGGGGTAGTACAGCTAATAAAAGGGGTCTCCAGGACAAAGAAATGTTATGTGTCTGAGGGCACAGATAGGCCAGCTAGCTGTATCTGATCATTACACACTATATGCATCCTGTCAGTATATGCAATCATTACAAATCAACTTCAATAAAAATATATTGAGCTGAGTATATTGATGCATGCCTGTAATTCTAGCCCTCGGGAAGCTGAGTCAAGAGGATCACTGCAAGTGGGAGGCCAACCTGGGTTACTTACACTGAATCACATGGTTTGACTCTGTCTCAAAACAACTGAAAAAAATTACCCAAACATGCCATGCCGTGTGACAGACACTCTCTGAGGTGCTGGTGAATCAACAGTAATGACAGAGATTAAGTCTGTTTCATGAAAAAGAAAAACTTATCAACTGTATGCACATAATTATATGTAAATTTCAAATAAAAAAAATTCAACACTGCTATACAGTGGGAGGTAAGAAAATAGGGAGAGGACAGGGATATAGCTCAGTGGCACAGCACCTGCCTGGCAAGTGCAAGGTTCTGAGTTTGACTCCTAGTGCCAAAAAACTAAAAAAGAAAACAGGGACATTCCAATGAGGTGGTCGGAGACAGCATGAGGAGAGGCCACAAGGCAGTGACGTTTGAGTCATCTGAGTGAAGGAAGATGGATCTGCTTGCTACACAGACCAAGACCTGATGGAAGGCTAAGCTGCCCTTACACACTTCTGCACAGCCACAGTGACTGGCACAGTGAAGGAACTCAGCTATGTCTTCTGACGTGGGGAGACACAGCAGCAGAAGACAGTGCACACAGGACCAGGCAGTCAGGCCTCAGCCACATGTTTAAATAACAAGTAAGGTTTCTTCCCTTTCTCAAAAGACTTAACTGCTCAGAACATCCTGACAGGAAATATGCACATCCTGATGAATGCTACTTAATTTTTCTTCCCCCCGCCCTCCAGCACTAGGGAACGAACCCAGGGTTTTCACAATGAACTACCCCCAACCCTTTCTGTACATTTTTTAGTAATTTTGAGATAGGGTCTCAAAACTTAGCTAAGTCACTGAATTACCCAGGCAAGGCTCAAACTTGTAATCTTCCTGCACCGGCCTCCCAGAGGGCTGATGTACAACATCACAGCTGGCCAGTTTGGTTTTTTTTTCTACTTGATATACCTTTAAAATTGGAGTAATCAATGTGTTTAACAAAAATCATTCAGTTAGAATCCTAACCTTGGGGCCTGGGAGGTGGCTCTGTGGAATAAGCGCTTCCCTGGTAAGCGCAATAGCCTGAGTTCAATCCCTGGTTCCGCAAAAAAAAAAAAAAAAAGAATCCTAACCTTTACAATGTTACATTTTATTAAAGAATAGGATATACCGCATACAAAGGCTAGCATAACATTCCCAATTTAAAAGTGCCAAAGTGCTGGACATAGTGGGGCATGCCTGTAATCCCAGCACTCAGGAGGCAGAGGCAGGAGAATCATTGAGTTCAAGACCCACCTAGGCTATAAAGAAAGTGAGCTCAAGGCCAGCCTGAAATGCATAGTGAGACCTTGTCTAAAATAAAATAAAATAAGTGACAAAGTAACTTTTCTCATTTAGAATTACTCAGGTGAGATTTTAACTTCAAGCTGAACTCCTTTGAGAAGTGTTACTTTCCACAACAAACGGGAGGAGATGGCTCAGTAGAATAAGTGCTTGCCTGGCAAGCACAGGGTCCTGAGTTCAATCCTCAGTACTGCAAAAACAAACAAACAAAAAAACAAACTGGGGTATTAAACTTGAAAAGTAAAGCTGAAAGTACAAAGAAAACCAGGATTTTTAAATCACTGTATAGAAAATAGTTAAACACTTTAAACTCAGGGAAACAAAAAGAAAATAAAAGTAACAGGCCATCAAATTTATCAGAGAAGCTGGATAAAGTCCACAGGGAAGGAGGTGTGAGGCACTAGGCACACTCTTTCCTAGGTGGCATGACCGGCCAACAAATGTCCGGGGACAATGAGGTAGTACCTAGAAACAGTAAAAGCACAACCAGGTTGGCCTGCGGGTCCCTTTGTAAGAAACCAACCTGATGGAAAGGACTGAAGTAGACAAAAGTTTTGTGCACTGTAGCACTGGCAATAACCCCCATATCATAAGGCACAGGTAAATAAATTATAATAAACCCGTAAGACGGAACAGTGGGGAACCACTATGGAAATATGAAAGGCCACAGAGGGCGTGGCGGTGCCCAGCTCTCACGCACTGAGACAGGGGAAGTGCAAGTCCAAGCCCAGCCTGGGCGGCTTAATGGATTTTTAAATCACCATATAGAAAATAGTTAAACACTTTAAACTCAGAGTCATGAGTAAGGTCTTGGGAATAGTATAAAATAATGGGCTTAACTTTTTCCATTGTCTCACTTCTTCATATCCTAGTTCAGTGATGGTAAGTGCCCAAACTAATAACCATTTATTTATTACAAAGTGCCAACACTGCAATTAAACCTGAATACCGAGGTTTTAGTTTAGAAAATAACTCATACATTAACATCTTTTTACTTAAAAGAAAAATACAATACACAATACACAAGCCACAGGTTTGCTACCACTGTATTAGTTATTTTAGAGCAATCTAAATATGTTCGGCAAACTTTGATAAAACTTGGATCCCTTACAGTACACCATGTTCTATTTCACCTGATTATTCCAGAACAGAATATAGATTGTTCTTTAGTGTAAGACAAAATCTCCAAATCACAGTGGTACTTTGAAGATTTTTACATTTTTTCTCTTATGTGTGTAGGGGGTGGTTGAGGCAGGATCTCACTATATAGCTGAGGCCGGCCTTGACCTCAGGACACTCCTCCTGTCTTAGCCTTCTGAGTGCTAGGATTTTAAACATATACCACCTTCATGCACAGACAAAGTTTTACGTTTTTCATCTTTTTGAGAGATATAACCACATCAGTGGCAAAATGATACCTACTTCTAAACAACTGTAAACAAATATCAGAGCCTTTACAACACATCTGAACAGGAGATAAGAGAAGGTAGTGGGAGAAGTAACTAGACTACCACTGGCCTTTCTGCACCTGGACTGAGATGGCTGTTTCCAGAGCTGGGTACAAGCTACCCACTCCACTCACATGCCAACCAAACCAGGAAGTACCCAGACTCCCAACACACCAGAGTGATATATAGAAATAGTACTCAGCTGCTCCATGTGTCATATAAACCATACAACTTAAAGCGACAATGATACACTTTTTTCTCCTTTAATGTCATGCTCCTAAAATAAAAATTCTTACTTAACATACATTTACTACAAAGTCACATTTACATTCAAGGACTTGAAAACACTTACCCTAGGGCCTGGAAAGAAGGGATGGAAAGTGCCCAATGCATTGACAGGAACAGCAGCCTGGAGGCAGACTCCCCGATGTAGTGCACATTCAGGTACTCGGGTGTAGGAGAAGGCATGGTGAGCTAGTGTGAACAGGGATGCCAGGAAATCATTTTGTGATGTCATGCTCTAAGTTAGCAATTCTTTTAAAAAGTTACATCTTTTATTTTTTTGGCAGAACCAGGCACTGAACTCAGGGCCTTGCGCTTGCCAGGGAAGCGCTTATTCTACTGAGCCATCTCCCCAGCTCCCTTAAAAAGTTGAATGTAAACATAGCACATCAAATGAGTCTAGCCACAAAGAGGCTAGTCTTGAAATAATCAAAGTACCTGGATTTTACAGACAACTGGGCTTAGAATAAATGAGTTGATCAGTTTCTAACAGTAATATTCAAAGAAACAGAATTTCAATAAACAACAACCACGGTATTCTGGTTCATTTTTAAAAGTCCCTTCCTACTCTGCTCTGGTCTACCCATAGGTCTTTCTTCTCCCCTTCCTTTGTAACAACGGTGCACAGTAAGTGCATGGCCAGGTGCAATCGTATGTGATAAACACTCCTTTCACTGAAGTAACAGGGTTAATGAATCAAATGCTTGCAGGGCTGGAAAAGTACAGGATCAAGCGGGTTTAACAGTGCCACAATGGCAAGGGCACAACCCCAGAAGAGGGCCCAGCTGTGGCTTGAATTCTGTACAACAGGACCATGGGAATTTAGTTCAGCACTGCCACTTCTTCAATAGTTGAGAGTATAGTCTCTGCAAAATCTATTTTAAAAAAAATTGACACTGAATTGAAAGGTAATTTAAAGGGCCAGCCAAACAGCTCAGCAGATTAAAGCGCCTGCAAGCAGGTGCAGGGGCTGGGAGGGTTGATCCCCAGGCTTGCCCTGCTGGCCCTGGCCCCACCCCCAGGGGCATGCTGAGATGGCAACTGAGACTGGGTGGTGGCACGTGCCTGTAATCCCAGCTCTTGGGAGGCTATAAACAGGCAGATCACTATGAGTCCTACCTAGCAGTGAGACCCTGAACATCCTGTAGACCCTTCCTTAAAATTCAAAAAGATGAAAACAAAACAAAACAGGATGCCTGGAGAACAGCCTCTCAGGGACTTGCACTGCTGACCTCCATGAGGTTGTTTTAAATGTCCTGCTGCTTTTGCAAATAAATAACCAACATCACAATATTTCTAAACCACTTCTGAAAGTCTTACTGGACACAAGTTTTGCTGCCATAAAAACAAAATGTGGAAGAAATACTTTTCCTATTATGAAATGGCAGGAATGATCCACAGTACCAAGTGAAGCAAGGCTACAAGGGATAAGTATCCACTACCACAGAGCTAAGCCAGAGGGCGACCTGATTAGCTACCAGAGCTGGACCCTGAGCACATCCTGTGTCCTAATTGAAGACGAAAATCTGACAACATTTTGGGCACCAATATTTAACATAATTCAGGTCTTAGAGCAGTTCAGATTTGGAACATTAACCAGTAAAGCTTCTGTGAATATCCCAAAATCTGAAAAAAACTAAAATCAGAAATGCTTCCATTCCCAGGCATTTCAGACAAGAGACCCTAAACTTGTCATACTACTTCTAAATTATTCCAGAAAAATACTGTGCACATGCAGGAGGCACCCATCAAGTGTCCAGGGTTGCTCTGCTTCCCACATGAATGAAGGTGAATAGTGACAATGAGCAGAAAAGAATACTCTATGCACCTTGGAGATGTTCCAGAGTACATTCATGTGCATACACAGATATGTGCACAAAAAGGACGGAAGGAAACACTCCACACTGTTCACAGTGGTCACCTCTGAGGTGCAGCAGGTGGATGTGTATTTGGGGAATGTATACATAGCTCCCACTGGATTCTCAAAAGGTGTCTATGACACCAGAGCAAATTTTTCATCAAAATGACAGCTCTCTAGAAATTGCTAAAGAAAAAGTAAAA